TATAGCTAATTTAACCCTCGTCCCCTTATTTACACAATAGTAACTGTGGTTCAAGTTGTGTTGTCCATACGTACTTCGCTTCTGGTACATATATGTACCATGCATTTTCAATTGGAATCTTTTAGCCAACAGCACCCATTGGGGCTTCACCCTCATGCTCTCATGCTGAGGGAAAAGCAGTCTCAATCACTCTTCAATTTGCTTTGCCAATACAGAATCCACATGTGATAAAGATTACAGAACATATATGAAGAATACATCTTAAAAGAACCCAGTTATTGTAGGTTAAGTAAGAGTTTTCTTCTTGGAGCTACTGTCCACATATCTTCTGCTTCTGGTGAGTCACAATCAGTAATTTGATGTGTACAAGATGGGTGCTGCAAGTCGATTTATATAAGGATTTCCATCCAGCTCTGCAAAAACACAACACCTGTTCTCAACACCTCAACTAAGGAATAACATCTCGTAGAGGTATGGACTGACCCCATGGTGCTGCTTTACAAATCTCAGAAACACGTCTTTAAACAGGGAAGCTGCAGAGGCTGCCTGAGGATTTGTGGCATATGCCCTAATCCCTAATTACTGTTAATGCAATTAGTCACCTACTCAGATAACCTCTGGATACAGCTTGGCCTTTTAACAAATCTGGCCATGATGCTGAGTGAGAAGATATGTGATCTTGAAAAGCCTGATAAGAACTGTATATCACCCCAAGTTTCAACAGGCTGATATGAGAAGAAGCTTCCTCTTCTGAACAGAAGCCCTAAATTTGTATGTTCCCAGATGTACTCTCCAACCTATTGCACAGGTATCCAGTTATTGCTTTAGTCAGCAGAGGGCAGGAAAACAGGATTCTGTGACACATATTGTTGTATTCTATCCACCCCTGTAAAAAGCTTCAGGACCACTAAAAAGGGCAAAGGCACATCCTCACATACTGCATTACTTGTATACCATACGTATCTGTGTCCTGTTTACGTCATCTTTTTATACGGTAAATTCCTAAGGTCACGAACTATGTCGTCATACTTTTGCACAGCACCTAGTACATTTTGGCTAAATAAGATGTGCAGTGACTAAAATCTATCAATTCAGGATAAACTCTTCACCTTGCTTAAGCGAAACACCACATTTTATTTTAGCTGTCACACCAGAATATTTTCTCCATCAGAGAAAGTGAAGGAACTAAGCAGATGCACACTTTTAACACCGCTTATGCCTGCTAACATGTTTTTAACTAAGATAGTAATTTGGCCGTAAAAATCGAACTACACATTTAGTGTTAGTAGAATCCTGATCTCTCTTAAGAGTCTTACTACGTCAAGAAGTATTATGTTTTTTTCTCTGAAAAAGTTAGTTAAAAATCTAACTTCTTACAGGTATAAATGTTTTACTTTTATAGATATAAGATCTCTACTCTTACATATATTTTCAAACTTAGACTTCACTCCCACAAACATTTATACACTTTAAATAGATAAGTAAGAAATCTATTAAAAAAGTAATCTTCAACGTAACAACTCGTGTTTTTGAAGTTAAAATATGGGTATGCATCTGCAGGACCAGGGCTTAAGGCTCAAATTTTTGAAGACATGCATGTAAAAGTGTGCAAGCATAATTTTATGAAGTAACTCTGCACAAAATGTGTGTGAAATTGCACATGCACAATTATGAAAATTTAAGCCTAAATCTAAGTTAGAATATTCAATTTCATTTCACTTAATTAACACTTTTTTTAGGGGTGGAAGTATTTCAGTACTAGGGTTCTGAACATTTAGTGTACCAGCTGCAAATCAATGCTGAAGAGTATTTCAGTACTAGGGTTCTGAACATTTAGTGTACCAGCTGCAGTTCTTTCATAGCAAATCAATGCTGAAGATTTAAGGCACGTATTGTTAATATTTACCGAGTGAACAGAGCAATGGATTGAACCTCTCTCGTCCAGCACTCTCTGGTCTAGCAACATATGCAATCCGGCACGATTTTAGTTACCCAGATGCCTTCTTATTGTGAGTGTGGCCAAGTTTCCCACTGTCCCACAGAGTTTATTTACAGCTACTAGTCCTGGCTCTCAATGTTCTGTGCTGTTACAGGCAGTCCCCGGGTTACGTACAAGATAGGGACTGTAGGTTTGTTCTTAAGTTGAATCTGTATGTAAGTCGGAACTGGCGTCCAGATTCAGCCGCTGCTGAAACTGATCAGTTTCAACAGCGGCTGAATCTGGATGCCAGATTCAACTTAAGAACCCCAGGTGTCCCCAAGTCAGCTGCTGCTGAAACTGATCAGCAGCT